AACATTTAATCCCGCTGCAAATGTTTGCACCTGTCCTAAGTCAGGAATCTGATGTACAGTAGTTGTCGTCTGTTTATGTAGTTCATACGTGTTTCTCGTTTCTCGTTTTTATATAGATTAGACCGCTGGTTTTCGCGTTTTAATGGTTATACACTAGTAATTTTTGGGGCCCTTTATAGCTTGCTGTTCGGTGTGAGCCAAGACTCCGTGTTATAGGCCGTACCTTGACCTATAATGGTTTACTTTTATAAATTGTTACTTGGATGGAGAGTTGTCTCATTGGCACTCATACCACATCTTCCTATATCTATTCCCTTAAAATACATTTAACCACATTCACATGCATTATTCTGACTTTTTCCTTTTGCCCCTGAAACCTGCAATTAATGTATTTCAAACTGGAAGTGGTTGCACCAATAACACATCCCTAATTATTATTAGCATGCCAATCCCAATACCACCACTTTGGTCTCGAATGTTGGAACTCTTAAATTTTCCCTTACAGAAGAGTTCTGATTGCATGTCAATAGACTAACAAGGGGATATGGAGTTTTCATTAAAATAAGATAAATCTGTCATTTTTCAAAAATTCATGTGAATTTAATATTAATTTCATCCAAGACAGATAGCTCTAGATATCTATATCTGTTGTAGTCCGAGATTACTCTGACGTCCAACGGCTGTTTTGCCAGACAAGCTGGGGCCGTGGAACAACAGCCCCCGCAACAGCCCCCCCCCCCCCCCCATCTTGTCTGGCAAACAGCTGTTGGATGTCGGAGTAATCTCGGACTATGTCTGTTGAAACAATGATCGGGGATGACAATGATTCTAACAAGTACTGATGTGATCGTGGTCATCTAACGAAAGATTTTTTATTTTTGTCTCCTAGAACAGGTAAAACGAAATGCATTTCAAATAACTGTGTGTTTAATAACTACGTGTCCTCGGCAATGATCTGACACAACTTCATGTTGGCATCCCGATTTTTGACCTTTTATTTACAAATCGATTTATCACACGTGCGTTTGATTCGCCCGGAGCAATATATGCACGAGAAAAACGTCTAAGAGAAAAAAAATATCAAGGATAAACTAATTTTGGAGCGGCATGCGGCCCAAAAATTGGCGGAAGCGGTAATTATTTTTTTTATTGGAAAGTCAATTTCTCCAAAACAGGAGCGGGAAAATACAAAGAACTATTTATCAAATTGGTGTGGCCTTAAATATAGTTGACCTATTGCACATAGTATCTAAGAAACAAATTTAACCAGGAAAACTTAACATTGATCAATGAACCATGAAAATGAGGTCAAGGTCAGATGAACCCTGCCAGACAGACCTGTACATCTTACAATCATCACATGCTTTAAATGTAGTTGACCTATTGCATATAGTATCTAAGAAACAAACGTAACCAGGAAAACTTAGATTGACCAATGAACCATGAAAATGAGGTCATGGTCAGATGATAATTGACAGACAGACATATGCACCTTACAATCATTCCATACACCAAATATAGTTGACCTATAGCTTATAGTATTAGAAAAACAGACCAAAACACAAAAACTTAACATTGGGCAATGAACCGTGAAAATGAGGCCAAGGTCAAATAAAACCTGCCAGGCCGACGTGTACATCGTAAAATATTTCCATACACCAAATATAGTTGACCTATTGCATACAGTATTAGAAAAACAGACCAAAACACAAAAAACTAAACTGTGACCACCGAACCATGAAAATGAGACAAGGTCAGATGACACCTGCCAGTTGGACATGTACATCTTACGATCATTACATACACCAAATATAGTAGACCTATTGCTTATAGTATCCAGAGATATGGACTTGACCACGAAAACTTAACCTTGTTCACTGATCCATGAAATAAGGTCGAGGTCAAGTGAAAACTGTCTGATAGACATGAGGACCTTGCAAGGTACGCGCATACCAAATATAGTTATCATATTGCTCATAATAAGAGAGAAATTAACATTACAAAAAATCTTTAACTTTTTTTTCAAGTAGTCACTGAACCATGAAAATGCGGTCAAGGACAATGGACATATGACAGACGGAAATTTCATATCATAAGGCATCTATATACAAAGTATGAAGCATCCGGCCGTACCTACCATTGAGGCAAGTGAGGCAATTAAAATTTCGACACTGAATTTTTTTTTGGTGTATTTGTTTATGGTAATTTAAAACGAAATATAGTCATTTGTTTTTTCTGTCTCAACCTTAATTTCTTCTATAACTTGAGTCACATCGTTCCTTTTAAATTGTTCTTCCCGGATATGACTCAGCATCTCACCGGGTTTCTCGATTACATTAACCTAGTAACGGTAATCATCATGGATCTCTGGTTAAAAAGAGGCTCTTGCAGAAAAAGGAAAAGCGATACTGAATGTGAGGAAGGAATAGTTCTAGTAAACTAACTGATGTTGTTTGTGATTATAACAGGTGTTAAGAGTTCGAGTATTGAATATATTTTCAATGGAACTAATACAAAAACTATAAATAGACTGACAAATCAAGTACTGGGGCACCCACACGGGAGCAGTCCTGTCTGCGTATTCATTTCCCCAACTTTATTCGTTCTCTTTACAGATAAACAAAATATAAATAGTATGAAACCTGCATGGATTAGTTTTTATCCATGTTTCTTTTACCTTAAAATTTTTAAGAACATCCCGTAATCCAATTTAGACATTATTGAGGGACGATACGACCATTAAAACGGGATTTCGTGTTTTCTAATTCGGGACTACGGAATTTCGTGTCTTTTAACATGGGATTTTGGGATCGGACCCCCTCCTACCCCCTCATTATTCGATTCTCGATCTAAAATATCAGTGACGAGTGTTTGCTGTGAACGTTCTTTTTTCTGCCCTGAGACAACTGAAAACTTGGGAAAGAGCATGCATGAGTGGCGAGAGACTGGGGTCTTGCCATACTCCATGTTCATCGCGATAAGGATGTCAGCAGAACAAATATTCTGAAACGATTTGACGAAACCGGCCATAGAAAAATAGGCAAACTCCAATTTGAATTACAATTGCTACTGAGTCGATGTTTTTTTCTGTGTTCTGATATTTGGATGTTTATCCGACTTATAAATTTAGCCATGATAAAGTTGTTAAAAATTTGGTGTTAGTACATGTCTTAAAATATGAAAAATATATAAAAAGTGTCCAAAAATGAAAACGATGTCAAGCTCTCTGTAAATGCCCAGAATGCAGGATTTTACACCATCTATCCCAGACCCCCTGCCAAAATTTTATTCTGCCTCACTAAAATGCCTAGTTACGGCCTTGCCGGGTCCTCTACCTTCTGAAATATTAAGCTTTTAAGAAGTTAGTTAACGCCGCCGCTGGAGTCACTATCCCTATGTCGCAGGCTCGACAAAAAACTGATTTTTAACAGATTTAAATAGTTTTTAGTCTTCGGGATGCATATCAATAATTTCCGTTGACAGAATTTCACGTAAAGATACGAGATTGATATGGTAAAGGCATTAACTTACAACCCTGTCTCCATCAAAAAAGATTTGTCATCCGGAAAATTGGTACCAACCTTATTCTGAAGAGAACCTATTGTTACATTCAAGCGTGTTCGAGTCCACTGCTTTGCTTTTAGATGTACAAAACAAAACCAAAGGGTATATCATCTCGCTTCAGATTCAATTAATTTTATATTTTAAAGTTGAATGTTGATACAGTAACATTCATAATTTAGATAAAACTGTTATCACAGAGATATGTCTCGCCTTTTTGTAATTTTGATAATGCAAATGTTGAAATTAAAATAGCAATCCCTTTAAACAAACATAAACACAAACATTAACTTGTAAACTATGTAAAAGTTTCAAAGTCAATGAACCATGATCAGGGATGGAGCTATATAATCTCCATGGAAACGATACTTGCAAATGCCAATAAATTTGCATACCAAATATCATTGACTTAACATTAGCAGTTCATCTTAAACTGATCTAATCACAAACTTATACAGGTAAACTAAGCAAAAGTTTCAAAGTAAATAGACAATGACTGAGGGGGTGGGGCCAAATATTCTCCATGGAAATGAGATGTGCTAAAGCTTATACAACTGAACACCAATTAACATTGGCCTACCACTAATGGTTCCCCTTGAACTGACCAAATCACAAACTAATACATGTTAACTTAGCAAAATTTTCAAAGTCTATAGACCATGACTAAGGGGGCAGAGCCAAATAATCTCCATGGAAATGAGATATGCCAATGTTTATACAACTGCATACCAAATATAATTGACCCACCACTAGTGCTTCCCCATAAATTGACCTAATCACAAACAAATACACGTAAACTATGAACAGTTTCAAAGTCAATAGACCTTGACTGAGGGAGCGGGGCTAAATAATCTCCATGGTAATGAGATGTGCCAATGCTAATACAACTGCATACCAAATATCATTGACCTACCACTAGTTGTTCACCATGAACAAGACCTAATCACAAACTAATACACTATTGACGCCGCCGCCGACGCCGGAAACAGCATACATATGTCTCGCTCAAGGCGAGACAAAAACCATAACCTTATGCTGACATTACTTCGTTCTCATAAATTTATATTTCTTTGACACACCATGAAAGTAAAATTTAGGCATACTGATTATCTTATTTGGGAAAATGTATTATAAAAATAGAAGTCAAACACACCGTTTTAGAAACCCCTGAAAATTCTATCAAACAATCTTAACGACAGACTTTACGTTTCAATCTTGATAATGCAAGGACAAACAATTTTTTTTTGTATTATGTGTCTTCTAATGCATTTAGTCTTCAACTTTCTAACACTTTCTAGTATGTCTTCCATGAATATGTTAATACAAATTGTTGGGCGGGGGGAGGCAGTTTTAGCATGCAGAAATCGGCCTGTTTTTGTTGAAACATATAGAATCAGACGTGCTTTTTCTCAATTTGCTGTCATTCATATATAAAACTGTTGACGATTTGACGAAAACTTATTGAGTATTACAACATGCTTTGAATAACAATTAACTCCAGTCGCTCAAAAGATTTGAATAAAAATGCAAAAGGCGCACATTAACAATACAAAACTAAGTTCATGTGAACATCCAGAACTCGTATCATTGATGGGAACAGTTGCAAATATTCTTGCAGGACCTCCGCTTCCGTCGTATATCTTGGTCACGGCAACAAAAATAATACTCCCTGCTTCTGGTATAGCGTCCAGATTTGCAACATTTTCTGCACCCGGAATATTGGCTTGACCTAAGAGAATATGAACCGGAAATGTTTTAGATTGTCCAAAGTCAGTTGACGGTGTGTCTACACCAACGACGTTCACTGAACGTTTACTAATAAGCCATTCGATTGTTGTTTCATGCCAGGCGGGGAAGTGAAATGTATTTGAATCAGTGGGACTGTCTGTATTGAATACAAGGGATGCGTTCGGGTAGCGGTCGTTCCAGCCTGAATTCATAATGACAATGGCGTTTTCCGGAATCTGTTTGTAAATGTTTTCCCATTGTTTTAAATCATCAATCGAAACCTGATAATCGGCATTCGCCGCAGCTTTATTCTTAACGTTAATAATTACTCCCGGACCGACCAAATTTTCTATTGGAATGTTGTGTGTCCGTAGTCTGTCTTTGTAAAAGTGTGCAGGTGAATCTAGATGTGTTCCACCATGTTCTGCTGTACCAATGTAGTTACTTTCATACCTAAAAATAGTATTAAAAAAACCTGATTCTATATATTTATAAAAAAAAAATGTGTACTAAAAAAAAAATGTCCAACACCTAATAGATAAATATTCAGTGTCTTCTTAGCAAAAAATGCATGATGGTCTTGAATGCTGAAACGTGTGTAGCAATGTATTTACTCTACAATATTACCGTTATTTGTCTTCGTACTACTATGTTCCATTCGATCGTATCGAATCTCTTGACGTGGTTCGGTATATATGTGCATCCAGTTTTCAGGTTTTTTGGTTTTTGGCGTTCCTTTTCCGGTTGGTCCAGAAATGCGTTTCGGACACATGAGGTTTTTATGATGTTGGTTATATTTTGAATACGCTTGTATTCATATTTTACTTATTTTGTATTGTATCGGGAAAGTGTATATGGCATTATGTAAGGAGCCCCTTACAGAGCCCTTTAAGTGCTATTTAAATATATTAAATATAAATAGTTTCGTTTGCCGGAGATTAAATCTGCTGCGCAATAGTTTGAAAAAATCTTGGGTACGAGGTTTCAACGTTTAAACTTGTGAGCATCAATTTTAATCTCGTTAGAACGAGAAAACAGAAAAACGCGAAAATAATTGACAAGTAATAGAAAAAAATAATAGATTTTGGAAAAAAGGGGGAGGGCTAAAAAAATTGTCCTGTCCCCAAGTACCTATGCTTACAATATATCGATACCTACGATATTTACAGAATAACATGCGGACAAAGTTCGCATATAATTATTCGTTTTTATCTAAAAACTGTACACCACTGCACTTCGGACACGTTTGTTGCCCTGTCTAGTCGTTAGTTATTTCGATTTGAAGCTCATATTTCACGATATAACTATGCAGAAGAGAATCTTATAATTTATGATTACAGCTCAGTCAGGATTATACTTCGTCAACATTATCTCCCCATTACGCCAGCTAACTTTTACAATCGTAAAAGTTGAAGCCATTCTAAAGATGACGTGCTGACAATTTAGCTCTTGAAAACAAATAAATTTATCCACATAGCACCATTAAAATCCGTATATGCCGGTTGTATTCTAAAGATAAATATATCTACTAGCTATTGAGCCCCATTTAATGTACTTTTCTGCATTTAGTCAACTTAAAGTTTATGACCCCTTCTGTAACCATGTGTGTTACGAAATTTTCAAAGTGCAATAATATCAAAACCGCAAAGATTATGAATAATAGAGATGTGCCATCTTGTACATATACATAAGGGAAACTTCGTTCAAAGCCATATTATTTATTGTTTAATTACATTTAATAGAAAATGGGGAATTTTTGCAAATAAAGCAAAGATTTTTGCAGAACATCCACAGACTTTAATACAGAGATTTTCGTTATAAAATTTTAAACATAGATTACTCACTTGTTTGTCGTTTATTTTTTACAAAAAGTCCTGAACAACCTTTGCTTTCCAAAAAACTTCATGTTTATTCACTAAAGCCGAGCGCACCCTAAAAGGTGTACTTGAATTAGTCCATATTTATATTTGTTTTAACCAATATCTAAATTTATAAACTTGTTTTAAGAAAATCATTGCTAACACTGCATGTAATAATCCTCTATCTATCAAGCACCGAATTGTCAAATAGTATAGAGTATAACTGGAAAGGCTGTGGATATTCTATAAAATTGCCATATGTTTAGCATTGAAACAACAGAAGGGTACATAATTCTTAAAACTATTGTCTGGCTGTTGCCAGGTGGAAATTTTTAAAGTTCGAAAAGATTTTTTTTTTTAAATTACTTTTTTGTAATTAAATATCTCATGGAAGGACAGACTACAAATTTTCAGAGATTGAAGACTAATACCCTAGATCATTTTGTGTGTGTGTTAAGTTGTGCATTTTTTAAGATCCACTTGTATGTCATCAAGTTCTTTTTAATAGTAAAAAATTTATTCGAACACACCTACACTCATGGTTATTCAAACAACCTGTAGCCTAAATATATAAAAATAATAGAATCTGAAGCAAGATGATGTATCAAATATTTTTGCCTGATACGTTTTCAATCAGAATAGTCAACTCAAACACATCCGAACATAACATGGTGCACTCGATTTTCTCTTATCGATGAAATTATTGCCCATTGCCATATTTCCCAAAAACAAAAAAAATGTCGATGGGGGCAGAGATGCAATTAATGCTTTAATAAGAATAATCTATTATCTTTCTTTTGATTTTTTCGGAGGAATTTATGCTTAGCATAACGAAGATCCACTGGTTCTAATTGCAACTACCGCAATCTAAAAGTTTACAAATATCTCGAAAATCATGCACTTTTTTTAAACTTTAAAGCCCATAGAAACAGATGCAAGTAATTCAAATATACCAATTTGGCTTTTTTACTTTCTGGAACGAAGAGTTCCATTTCTTTTGTTTAATTTGAACTTGGTATCCGCCTGAGCTAACATTTGCACATCCTCTCAATTTTCCAACTTTTGAAAATTTCCGTGCATTTAATTTATTGGAATAAAATGATTTTCATACTATTGATATTATTAGTTACAAATTGAATGGTATTTAATTTGTTCAGTCTGAATACTGTTATACTGACCAGTTTACTTGTTTGTCTATGTTACCTAGATTTCTATATTTAGAATCTTAATTAAAGCTATATTTCTATATGGATAGTGATTTTGGTCACATGTTCTTTTTGGAGGGAAATTTCTATTGTTCTGGACACTCTTATTTCAACTGTCTTACTGACCAGTTATATTCCACAATTCTGGAGTTCGTAAATTTACTTGATTATAATATATTGCTGAATCTTTGGGAATCTTAATTACTACTTTACAGGTCAGTTGTATATACTTTTCTCACATTATTTTAATAGTCCTAGAGTTTTTAACAGAGTATGCACGATTTGGTTAGATTGATTGATTGAATGAAGAAATGAATCTGTAGTGTGATTCTGACCTTTATGAATGATAAATACAATTAATTAACCATAAAATGCTTTAAATCATTAAAGATTGATAAATTATTGAAATATTAAATAATCTTAAATAATAGATTATAATGGAGCATTGGAGTGAAATGATATTAAATAGAAAGAAAGAGTTCTCTTCTGTATAAGTAAGAAGTAAATAAATAGTTAAATATTTATTTTACTTCTTACTTATCTTCTTGTGCTAACCTTGTCAATGTTAATAACCAAAGGGTTGATTGTTTAATGTATGCTGATGACATTGTAATTTTCTCAAATTCAGCAGAGGGATTGCAAGAGAGGTTAACGATGCTTAACAATTATTGTTCTAAATGGTGTTTAAATGTAAATGAGAACAAGACAAAAGTTATGATTTTTAATAAAACAGGGAGACATTTTAATCTCCCTTTTTACCTAGGTGAGAAAGCTATTGGATGTACATATAATTATAAATATTTGGGCATCACTTTTATACCCAGTGGAAAATTTTTTCAATGTAAAGATGAACTGTACAAAAAATCTACGAAAGCATGTTTTAAATTACAACAATGTATGTCATCGTCAAACCCTAGTGTTTCAACTTCACTTCATTTATATGACCATACTGTAAAACCAATTTTAACCTATGGATGTGAAGTCTGGGGTATGTTTTCTGTAAACTCAGCTGCATGTAAGAAAAATGATCAATATATTTTAGAAAAGGTGTTTTCAAATGATACATCTGAAAAATCACATATCAAATTTATGAAATATGTTCTAGGTGTAAATAAGAAATCCAGTAATCTTGCTGTGACTTCTGAACTAGGGAGATACCCAATGTATTTTTATATTATATTAGCAATGTTAAAATATTATCATCGACTAGATAATTCTAAGAACATGTTATTATATGATGCATATTTATGTAGTAAAGAACTTCACAATAATAAAGTAAATACATGGTTCTCAAGTATAGACTGTATTTTACAAAAGCTGGGCATACAAACATGTAATTTAAATACCAGTATCTACTCTTTCACAAAATTTATCAAAGATAAGCTATATAAAAACTATCTCCATTTCTGGAAGGAAAATCGAAATAAAATTTTACAATCAGATCAAGGTAAACTTAATACCTATTTTTCCTTTAAAACTCTATTTTGTTTTGAAAAATATTTGGATCTAAAAGATTTTAGATCAAGACAAACAATCTGTAAGATTAGAATAAGCGCTCATCCATTAAGGATTGAGACTGATAGATATGCCAACATTTATGTGAATAGAACACTTAGAAAATGTTTATACTGTACATTAAATAAAGTTGAAGATGAGATACACTTTGTGACTGAATGTCCACTATATGTTGATAACAGAAATGAGTTTTTTACTGAAATTTCTCTAACTTGTAATAATTTTCAATCTTTAGACAATTTTTCAAAGTTTTCATGGCTATTTACACAAGAAAATTTAAATATGTATAAATGTTTGGGAAAGTATTTATCTAAAAATCTTGAGAGAAGGAGAAGGTCAAAGATAATAAATGCAAATTAGCCACAAATACACATATTTTGAGTGGTATATGATTTTGAATGGTATATTTCAAAGATGTGAATTGTATTATCTGGTTCTGTCCTGGCCTTTTATAGCATTTTTTAATAGTATTAAACGATGTTATTTTCTTATATGTCTCTAATTTATGTCTAATCTTATGTACTTGTATGTAATGTGATGAAAGCTTTTTAAAGGGCCCTTTAATTGGAAATAAAATATTCTTATTCGTATTCTTATACAGAAGAAAACTTTTTCTTTCTATTTAATATCATTTTACTCCAATGCTCCATTATAATCTATTATTTAAGATTATTTAATATTTTAATAATTTATCAATCTTTAATGATGGTTAATTAATTGTATTTATCATTCATAAAGGTCAGAATCACACTACAGATTCATTTCTTCATTCAATCAATCAATCTAACCAAATCGTGCATACTCTGTTAAAAACTCTAGGACTATTAAAATAATGTGAGAAAAGTATGTACAACTGACCTGTAAAGTAGTAATTAAGATTCCCAAAGATTCAGCAATATATTATAATCAAGTAAATTTACGAACTCCAGAATTGTGGAATATAACTGGTCAGTAAGACAGTTGAAATAAGAGTGTCCAGAACAATAGAAATTTCCCTCCAAAAAGAACATGTGACCAAAATCACTATCCATATAGAAATATAGCGTTAATTTAGATTCTAAATATAGAAATCTAGGTAACATAGACAAACAAGTAAACTGGTCAGTATAACAGTTTTCAGACTGAACAAATTAAATACCATTCAATTTGTAACTAATAATATCAATAGTATGAAAATCATTTTATTCCAATAAATTAAATCAATATATACAAATTTACAATTACCAAAAATATACTAAATTTCACTCTACCACACATTTTACATACAATACTAACGTGTGGTATAACCAGAGACATGTCTCTGGTATAACATAACCCCACCCCTAAACGCCCGAAGTTAAAATGTATTTTTGTTATTTCACTTACCAAAATCCGCCGGTCGTATTTCCACGAGCTAGGATTGTAAAGTTATATTCTGGATTTCCGGGCCAGTATATTGTTGTATTGCTGTGATCGTGTGTAAGGTCTACTACTTTGAAATCCAATGATAACCCTCCACATATGTAAAGGAGAATAATGAAAAACAAAACATGTGTTTGTGGTCGCATATTTAACGTCCGGCTACTGTCGAATAACAATACTCAATGATTATTTCTACCTTATCATATATGATTGTAAAGTGCCTTAAGCAAGTACGACATACACAAATTATGTTCAATAGTATAAGCTGGCTGTTCAATAAGGGAACTTTAAATATAATTCAAACATGATTATATCCTCTACACTTATTGAAAATAAGATAGAGTGGCAACGTCAATCTAATTAAAATATAGAACTCTGATTTCGTTATACTACACGGGAGCCAGTTAGGGAGCTACCATTTGATTTTTATGGGGGGGGGGGGGGAATGGGCTAGGATGAAATTTGAAAAAAATAGGCAGGACAGGAGTTTTGAGTAAAAAAAAAAAGGCAAAATTTTTCATCCTAACCCCCCATAAAAATCAAATGGCAGCTCCCTTAGTGTCAGGGTGGAGTTTCATTTTTAGTCGTTATAACGACTTGGCTAACTCAGTGGCGGATCCAGAAATTTTCATAAGTGGGGGCCCACTGACTGCCTAAGAGGGGTCACGCTCCAGTCAAGCTTCAGTGATTCCCTATATAATCAACAAAATTTTTCCCAAAAAGGGGGGGGGCGGGCCCGGCCCCCCTAAATCAGCCTCTGTAACTTGTTATACCGACTTAGCTTATCTAACTCGTTATAACACTTAGCTAACTTGTTTAAACAACAAAGTTTACTCATATAAACAACTAAGCTAACTCGTTTAAACGACTTAGCTAACTCGTTTAAACAACTTAGTTAACTTGTTATAGCGACTTAGCTATCTCGTTTAAACAACCTTGATAACTCGTTTCAAAACTTAACTTACTTGTTAAATCGCTAAGTTGTTATAACGAGTTAGCTAAGTCGTTATAACGAGTTAGTTCAGTCGTTTTAATGAATTAGTTAAGTTGTTTAAACGGGGAAGCTAAGTTGTTTAAACGAGTTAGGTAAGTCATAATATCAAGTTAGCTAAGTTGTTATAACGAGTTAGATTAGCTAAGTTATTATAACGAGTTGGCCAAGTCCAGTTTTAACGAGTTAACTAAGTCGTTTAAACGAGTTAGCTAGGTTGTTTAAACGAGTTAACTAAGTCGTTAAATCAAGTTAGTTAAGGTGCATATATAACAGTGGTTTGATTCCGCCAGTGTACTTTATCCGGAGGAGGAAAACCCTAGTGATTTTTATCCACCAACAAAAAATCACTAGGGTTTTCTATCCGGGTCCAGTGTAAAACATCCACCAGTTATTATAAGGTTCTAAAAAGGTTTTTTTTTTTTGAAAGGGAAATATATATAAAATGTGGCTTAATAGTTTTTAGTGTATTTGAAAATTGCATAGTTGATTTATGTAAAAAGTGGAGTTTTTGAACCAGGAATGATTACACTAGTGATTTTGTACCGGAATGATTGCACTAGTTATTTTATACCCGGCGGGATTAATTACACTAGTGCTTTAGATCCATTCATTGATGAAGTGATTAGTACTCATTTTGAACACACGATAACACAATAATGCTTATTAACGAATGAGATTTAAATAATTTTTCTATGCAAATCTATAAAATCATATGCTTTTAAATTGTCACTAATTGTAATATTTATATTTATTGGATTGCCGAAGTTTTTCTATGTATTTGCTTTTCGGTCGACTTGGATATTAAATCATATCTTCTATGCCAATATCAAAAAGTAAAATCACAAAAATACTGAACTCCGAGGAAAATTCAACCGGAAAGTCCCTAATCACATGGCAAAATCAAATGACAAAACACATCAAACGAATGGACAACAACTGTCATATTCCTGACTTTGTACAGGCATTTTCAAATGTAGAAAATGGTGGATTGAACCTGGTTTTATAGCGCCAAACCTCTCACTTGTACGACAGTCTTAACAAATTCCGTTATATTTACAACGATGCGTGAACAAAACAGACATTATAAATAAAATAGTCAAAATATGGGTACAGCAGTCATCACTGTGTTACAATATCAAAACAAACAATTATTTACAAAAAAGAACAAAAGCATCTATCAAATTAAAAACCACATTCATTGCTTCGCGTGTCTGACGTCAGAAAATGTAAACGTCACATAAGAAGAAATTTTGTCATTCAATGTTTATTCAAAACAATTTTATAATTTCACATGGGGAATGTTGGTATACAGGGTTAAAAAGTCAAAAGTTATGTTAGAATTAATTTCAGAAATAGACCGAGATTTAAAATTGACCAGAAGTTCTTTAGAATTTTTAAGAATCCACATATGGTTAATACCACTACGGGAGTAAAATAAATTTGTCGTTTGTCGTTCAAAGTATTTTCAAATTTATAATAGAACAATAACATAATGACATGTAATAGAACAATAACATAATGACGGGATCTTTTAAAGTACAGAGTCACGTTATAAGAACCACAGAAACACAAAAAGTCGCATATACAAAACACACCAGCAAAAATGAAAGATAATACAAACACATTGACGGGATGTATAAGTACCTAGCCACGTCAAATGGATATCACAGAAAACAAACCAAACAGTAAAAGTAATATTAATAATAGAACAAAGACAAATGAAAGAACAATAGTACACGTTGTTAAGATGATAAACAACGTCAGTATGCAGAATCTATACTTCAAGACCATCATGTATTATTTGTGAAGTTGATACGGAATATTTATCAACAAGGTCTTGGTACCTTCCGATGAACTTTTTTAGAAAAAGGACGAGACGTTCTTTGACATACCCCTGGTTCATCAACTTTCTGCTCAGACACTGGTGACGTTTTACAAAGTCTGAGTAAGAGCTGCAAGCTCTTGAATATCGAATAAGTTGGGAAATGTATATTCCATATGCAGGTGAAGTTGGTATATTGCTACTAAGGTGGGGGAAATTTATAATTTTAAAATTAAAATCGTCTCGTTTGTCATAGATTCTGGTACTGAGATGACTGTGTATGTCAAATTCGAGATATAAGTCTAAAAATGAGGCGGAGGAAGCCGTGTCTGTTGTTTCTTTAATTTCTAGTTCTGGGGGATATATTAATGGAACCCAATCAGAAAAGTTCGGATTGTTAATGGAAAGAACATCATCAATATATCTAAAAGTGAAATTAAATAATCTGGCTTCTTTGATCTTCTTGTTTTTGACAAGTGTCTGAAGGAACTCCGATTCATATGAAAATAAGAAGAGGTCGGCAAGGAGAGGCGCACAGTTCGTTCCCATAGGAATGCCGACAATTTGTTGAAAAAGTCTACCTCCAAATTCAACAAATATGTTGTCGATAAGAAACTCCAGCATACTGATCCTGTTCTTCTGTGTAGCATGTTTTACCCTTTTGTTCACTATTAACAAAATATGCCTTATGATATCCCAAAGTAATAAATTTATAGCGTATGCTACCATTTTTATGATGAAAGGCATTGTGGACTATTTCTTTCAGGCGATTTTTCAATTTCACATGGGGAATGGTGGTATACAGGGTTGAAAAATCAAAAGTTTTGATAGAACTAATCTCAGAAAAAGACCGAGATTTAAGTTCTTCAGAATTTTTAAGAATCCACATATGGTTAATACCACTACGTGAGTAAACAGTTTCACAGTATTTCTGAAGACCCTCTTTCACTGCGGACAGAATTTTAGTCAATCTAATGGACAATTCTTTAGTGGAACATGCAGATGAGCCGGCAATGTACCGTTGTTTGTAAGGAATTTTGTGGAGCTTAGGTATCCAATACAAAAAAGGTAAGTCCTCCGATTTGGTGTTCAATGTAATGTTCATTGAAGCCATGAAGGACTTATGATTTGCTAAAATCTCATCCTTGTCAAATGATATGTCTTTGTATGTGGGATTACCTGAGTGCTCATTTATTCCTAATTCTTTTACAAGACATTCGTAGTAATACGATTTACATATAAAGACAATATTATTTGAAGCTTTGTCCGCAGGAACAACAACATACTTATCATGAAGAGATGATAGACATTTCACGGCCTCTTTGTCTCTGAAAACGGACTTAGGTTGATCATTCACACAGTTTTTCAACTTATGAATGCGACGTTTTATCAGAGACCTGATAGTTTTGACCCATTCTGACAAAGTGTCCAGTTCAACTTCTTCTCGTTTAGCCCATGCTCTGGCGTAGTCCTCAATGGAATCCATAATTATTTTGAAGTTATGGTTCCAATTGATGTGTTGGGGTCCTCTAAACTTAGGAACATGAGAAATCACCTTTCGGAGATTTTCATGTTGAATTATGTTTAGATCCCCAGTTATAACATGACCAGAGGGGCTGTAATTATAAGGCGAGTGGGAACAGTCACATGTCGGTGGGTTTTTGAGGTATTGTTCTAAGTCAAGGTCCTGCAATGCTTGTTTAAAGTTAAATACTTTAGATGCAATGGTTTTGGTGTAACTGTAGGATACAATAGGAACAGACTGATTTTGAAAATAAATAGGAATTTTAGATATTACCTCCTTGTGATGTAGAACGTTGCAGATGTTGATTGCATCAATTCCTCTATTGGTAAAGTGAACAGGAAGGAATTTCCTCTTTTCCTCATGTAAAGGTTCCGATCTTACTGGTTTGAAAAGACGGAAAAGAGCTACATCACAAATAATACTGACTAGTCTGTATATTGAAGAAAATGTATCGATGCATCCTTTGTCAAGTGCAAAGGATGCTTCTGTAATGGAAACTTTATGTAAGAACAAATCTGCTCTTTAAATTTGGTTTGTATCAAGTTCCATGTCCTGATCATTGATAAAGTATTTTGAATTATAAAAATATCCTCCTCATCATCATCAATATTATTTTACTAGATTGACTCAGATTAATTAAACTGGTTCCTTCACGGCCGACACTCGGCTAACCGAGAGATTGGTCGGTTAATCTATATTGAGTATGCGGCTATATGGGCGGTTGGTCTGTTAATCGGGTCGGTTATACGTCTGTTAAGAGTAAAACGCACAATTTAAATGTTCAACTCTGTTAAATATACAGATTTTTGGCATATTATGAGAACCAAATAAAAAAAGAAAAGTGTCTGACAAAATGATATCTATCATAGAACATTTTCCACCTGTAAAAACATTTCATAGTCTGCGCAAACTTCAGTAAAACTAAAAGGCGT